CCCTAGCCTTAGGACAGTGTGTGTAACAAGGAAGCAATAGGAATGAGCCTGTATTATATCTCATAATATTGTCTGTTAACTAAAAAGTAGATTGCTATTGCATTTCCTGCATGTAAATTATTTTTGTAGGTTGAAGAAATGGGAAAAAAGCCCTTTGCCTAATATGCAGTTGTCTTCTGATGTGATATGCAAGCAAAACTGTAGGACACTTAAATATATGTCAGAACCCAATTCTGTTAAACGCTGTGCAATCAAAATATATTGTCTGCCTGAAAACGCTTACAGTAATGTACTACGCTGTTCTTACCCCAAATTTTCTGAAAACTATCAGAAAGTATACAAAAAAGCAATTCCAGATCCAATAGTAGATGATGTATTGTGCAGAAAGATTATTTTTTCTTCAAATATACACTAGTTTTTTTGATTATCTCTTCTCGTAGTTATTTCTGGTTCTTAAGACAAAGATGAGGTAGTGATAAAAAAACCTACAAGAATTAAATAGCATCCCATTTTCTAAGTTGGAGAAGCAGAAAACATAAGCAGGTATATACTTATTCCAACAACACACAAGTCAGTAGAGAGATAGTTAACCCAAAGGTTTTGAATCAGTCACTTTATGTTCTTAGGAAGTAGTAACAGACCTGCCAAAGTTTGTTTTAGGGTTTACTGTTATTTCTGTTGGGTTTGTTTGTGTTTTGGTTTTTTTTTTTTTTTTGCTGCTGGTGGGTGTTTTGTAAGCTTTTTTTTTTTTTTTAAGAAATGGCTTGCTTGAAGGTGCTAGAAGATATAAAGTCTTAGGAAAAATATATTCACCATGAATGGAGAGCAGTTAGCCCTCATTTTGGACCTCAGCAATACCACATATAGAAGGCAAGAAAGACTGAGACTTGGGATGCAGGGTAGAGAATTACATGGTGTGGTGAGTTGACCTTGGCTGGCTGACAGGTGACCATCAAGCCACTATCTCACTCCTGTTCCTCAACAGGAGGGGGAGAAAATGTGTTGAAAAGCCTGTGGATTCAGGTAAGGACAGGAAGATCACTCACCAATTACCATCATGGGCAGAACAGACACAGCTTCGTGAAATTAATATAATTAAATGCAAATTAATAACAGAAGTGTAGTGAGAAATAAAAATAAAACTGAAAACACTCCTCTTCTTTCCAGGCTCAGCTTCACTCCTCTCTCTGTTACCTTGTCCCCTCTGAGTGGCATGGAGAGATGGGAAATGGGGGTTGCAGTCAGTCCATAATTCCCTGTCTCTGCTGCTCCTTCATCCTCACGCCCTTCTCTTGCTCCAGCACGGGGTCCCATGTTCTTCTCCACAGGCTGCAGGGAATTCTCTGCTCTGGCACCTGGACCATCTATTCCCTTCCTTCTTCACTGACATTGGTGTCTATGGGGCTATTTCTCTCACATTTTCATGCTCCTCCCTCACAGCTGCTGCACAGGGGGTTTTACCCTTTCTTAAATATGTTATCATGGAGGCACCACCAGCATTGCTGACAGGCTCAGCTTTGGTCAGCAGCAGATCCATCATGGAGCTAACTAGAACTGGCTTTGTCCAACATGGGGGCAGCTTCTGGCATCTTCTTGCAGTGCCTCCCTGCCCTCTACTAAAACCTCACCAGGTAAACCCAATACATATGGAAAGTGTCCTGATGGTTCTACATGGAAAATATCTTGCCGAGGACCTCAGCTTCCCTGCTGGTTGGAGGCCATAAAAGGGTGTCAGGGGCCAACTCTGAGTTGACTCTGAGGAGGTTACATCCATGTAGGTCATACAATGATTTAGGTTGGAAAAGACCCTTAAGATTATCAAGTCCAAGTGTAAACCTAACACTCCCAAGTCCACTCTACACATCTTTCAAATACCTCCAGGGATGGTGACTCAATCACTTCCCTGGGAAGCCTGCTCCAATGCTTAACACACCTTTCACTGAAGAAATTTTTCCTAATATCCAATATAAAAATCCCTTGTGCAACTTGAGGCCATTTCCTTTTTTTCTATTACTTGTTACTTGTGAAAAGAGACTAATCCTCACCTTGCCACAACCTGCTTTCAGGTAGTTGTAGAGAGTGATAAGGTCTCCCTTGAGCCTCCTTTTTTTCAAACAACCCCAGTTACCCTAGCTGCTCCTCATAGATCTTTGTCTTTAGACCCTTCACACCTTCATTGCTCTTCTTTGGACACGCTCGTCCACCTCAATGCTTTTCTTGTAGTGAAGGTCCCAAAACTGTCGGCACTGATGTGTTCAGTTTTGGGACCTTCACTACAAGAAAAGCTAGTGCTGCACGGGGTTGTAGTGACCCAAGGGCAGGACCTGGAACTTGGCCTTGTTGAACCTCATACCATTGGCCTCAACACATCGATCCAGCCTGGGGAACACCACTCATGACCAGCTGCCAAATGGACTTAAGTCCATTCACTTTGGGCCCAGCCATTCAGCTAGTTTTTTAACCAGCAAACAGTATACTCATCCAAGCCATGAGCAGCGAGTTTCTCCAGGAGAATGCTGTGGAAAACAGTGTCAAAGGCTTTACTAAAGTCCAAACAGACAACATCCACTGCCTATCTGGCAGCTACTGAGAGGCTGTCATAGAAGGTGATCAGGTTAGTAAAGCAGGACCTGCCTTTCATAAAACGCTGCTGACAGGTCCTGATCACCTGGTTGTCCTGTACATGCAATGTGATGGCACTTCAAGACGATCTGCTCCATAACCTTTTCCAACACTGAGGTCAGACTGACAGGCCTGTGGTTCCCCAGATGCTTCTTCCAGCCCTTCTTAGAGATATTGTGCTATAACTGACCACTGGTGTCCTCTCTCTCCTGTCCTGTTTTCAGCTAATCCCAGTAGCCTTACTACACTTTCAAGACTAATGCAGGCCAGTGAAAGACAGAAGCAGAAGAATCAGGAAGTCCTTTCCCCTTTCGCTACACATCCTGAAGAATTAATCAGAAAGATAATTCACAAATATGAGGTAACATCACTGTAGAACTTGAAGCAACCATGAATCAGTTCCTACATCTGGTAAAGTGTTCCCAAGTTTAATTACCTCAGTTGGAGTCTATCACCTTGTCCCATGCCTGAATTTGTTGAACAACAGTTTTTAACCATTGTATCTTATTAACCCTTTCTTCAACATTAAAAAATGTGCCAGTATTCAGTAGATGTTACTGTATAGCTTGGAAAAATCTAAGTACTTCCACAAAGGATTTTTATCACCTAACTTGAATTTATGGTTCCTAGATGAATCGCACTGTAGTTAGTTGGTTTGTGAACATTTTGCCAAGTGATTTCAGTCCATTGTGGAGAAGAAAATAGGCCCCTGAAGGCCTCTCAGCATACTTTGTGGGCCACAGTACTTGCTATATGTCCATATTTTCTTAACACCTTGTTTCATTCTGGTTTAGTGGAGATTTGGGCCTTATTCCTATTTGTACTACATCAGATAGCATATATTATGCACGGAGAATAGAAACTATAGCATGGGGACCGGTATATCCTAATAAAAACATGACTAACGTGATAATATATAACAGCTTATAAACACATAAGAAGATCATGGAAAAATTAGTTTATATTGCATACTAAAGCTATCCAGTTGTTATTTGAAAAATACACAAAATTAATTGAAAGAGAAGATATGAAACCTTCCATCAAAAAATTGCTGGTTCCTACCTCAGTTGCTGACCTTTTTTCTACAGGTTTAAATAATATCTGTTTGTTAGTCTGAAACCAATTTGACAGCTTCCCTAAGATGCATGCAAAGTTACAAGCTATAACAGGCTGCAGCTGCAGAAGGGTGCACTTGGAACTTATTAACTTTGCTTGAAGGTTATGGTTTTACTGATTATGTGCCACAGATTGACTTAAGACATGTAAGACAACTTCGCTAGCCTCTCACTAAATAATCTATAATAAATTTTGAATCACATATTTATTTTATTTAAAAAGCTTATATTTTTCTCTGTATTCAGATATGAAATTAAATCTATGAAGGCAGTTAAAAGGGTTTTTAGAAAGAGCTGGTTTGAGTTTTAAAATTATGAAGTAGCTAGTGATCTTGTTCTTTATATTCCACTCTCTCAGCAGCAAAAAGGTTGTCACTGCATAAGCCTTCTAGTCTTTGCCAAAGCACCTCCCTTCTAGTTGGACATTCTCCTGTTCATGGTCTTGTTTCTTTGCTTTGGTTGAGGTGAGTGCCTAGCCAGAATTCATAGAAGTTTGGGATCGATTTTGTCTTTTTTTTCTAGCATAGAAGTGGTACAAACTTACTGATGTAATTCAAATTAAAGTTCTGTTTCCCATACTTAGTTTCACCCACAGACTTTCTTAAGTGGATGCGGGGCATTCCCTACTCAAAGGTGAGAAATCAAACAGAAAAGAATGCTGTGTTATACCACCTGTTTCACCATTTAATCTTCTTCAAATCTGGTTCACATAAAACAGTATTTATGAATAATGAAAAGAGCTCAGGGCTTATTTAGGGAAATGCAATGGAACAGCCTGTGTATTTCTGCTCTGCAGAACTCTGACCTTCTAAGCAGCCTGCTCCAGGAAAGAAAACAAACAATCCTTGTAGGCTAGGGGAACTTCAGACAGGATACCCTAAGACTCCTTCACCACGTACAACACAACTCCAGAACAAGATGCTTTTTCAGCTGATTAAAAAGCATGGTAGAGGAGCGCACAGAGAAAGATAATCTCACCTCATAACTACACATTACAGTCAAAACCAAATACACTATTGTGAAACCCTTAAAATTCAAATTCACCTATGGGAGAGAACTAACGAAGAAGGATATATGGAATTCTTGCCCTTCAACTTGGTAACACTTCTACTACTATAAACGTCCATTTGAGAAAGATCTGGGTAGGTAGGGAGGGAGCACACATAGATTTATGGATAAAATATTGTCTGTTTGAACGGGAGACTTGGCATTGACTTCAATAAAATCAATACCGTTAACCGATTCAGCAACCCACAGTACAAAAAGTATTTATAAAGCACAGATAATTTAATCCTGAAAAAAGTGGTTCTCAATGCAAGTTAATGGTATTATTTTAAAAACTCAGCAATTTCATCGGCATCATTCAAAATACAAAATACAATTACAAGAATGAGTGTGGCCTTTCAAAATGAGACATAAATTGCATTGTTCTGTTTCATTAAACCTCTCAAGTAAAAGCAAATCTTGCTTCCATCTGTGTACTGATACTATTTCTGAAAATGCTCAGACCTAACATTGCATTGTTAGACTACTAGGATACAAAATACTGATACACAGCATATGATCTGCCTGGAATATTTAAAAATGAAACCAAAGAATGCATGTTCTTGCAGGAGAAATTAATATTGGGACATAAGCATTAGTAATCCTGGTACCATTTCAGAATGGTACCATAGCACAATTAATTGTACATCTGAACACATATATACATTTTTCATGCCTTCTTAAATTACTACAAATCTGCATGATATATAACAAAAACATAAAAATTAATCCACCACAGGATTTAAAACTTTGGAGTCCCACATCAATAGTCATGCTGTCAGCCAAATTTCTAGTTTTTGTATTTGCATTTTCATGATAGCCTGTAGCTATCACCATCATAATATACAGCACCTTTAGCATGGCCACTTCATAAAATTTTGCATTAAAAGCAATTTTCTCTGGGTAACCATGATTTTTTTTGACAACAGGTAAAGAGACTTCAGAATGTAACATTTTCTCTTGTTTAAAAATGAGCTGCTCCATTCCTGTTGTTCCAACATACTGACTTAAAAGGTCAACACTACTGACCCAGATTAAATGTTCAGCAGCTATCTCTAATCTCTGAAATTCCTCAGCCTATGTGTCTGCAATGTGATCACATTTCCACACCAGGGCAAATCACAGAATTTTTAATACTGGTGAAGATACATAAAGTATCAAGCTTATATGTTTGCATTTCTTGTTTAACACAGAGAAAAACTAAATCAAGATCAAGGACTTACACAGTATCCTTCCTACACTGAGCGTTTTTATGTCTTTGATAGTGAATGTTGTAGCAATATTGCAGGAGATCTGGAAAAGCAAATGGAAGCAGAAAGCCATGTTTCCAAGTGAAGGCATCGTTGTACATGAGTCACTGAGCTCCCTGGGCTCACCATTTGTGAGTTACATTGCCTTGCCAGGAGGAAGTTGCTTTGGTAACTCTCAGGTAAGTGGCATTTCCAATCTTTGCCAGGGCAAATTGTCTTCTGAAGAGGATTTTGTCATAAAAATTATGTGGTATGTCTATTTCTATAACAATGCAGTTTCACACCTGACTTTTTTAGCTTCATACTCTGTCTCCAATCCCCAGCAGTCTGAGAGAGGCAAACTACTTGAAGGAAAATAACAGCCAGTTCTAGGAACTAAGTGAGCACAGAATGATTTTAGCAGTCTAGTCTCTGGTTTCCAGCCATATCTTTAACAAAAGATATTATGATTAACTCAACCATTTCTGTCAGTTGAATCTAAGACAAAAGTGTGTGTGGTTTCTTTCCTTCAGAAAAGAAGAAAACCTGTTCTGAAGGAGAAATTGTTTTGTTTTGTTTTGTTTTTCACTGTGAAGATACTTCTCATGATAACAGCATGCCCTATAATATGTACCACTCATCCCATTCTAATGCTGTGCAAACATATAAAAACACAGTCAGTTCAGATTTCACTTTCAGTGAAACAGAAGATGAAACTGAATTTGGTGCCGCCAGTCTCCAGGACAAGAAAATTGCCTGTTTAAGTACCCTACCTTCATTTAAAGGAAGGTGGCACAAGCTTGAACTTCATAGGCATTGACACTGTGAAAAAGCAAAACATTCGAAGAAAGAGCTTGAGATCCTCAACAACCAAATTTTTGAGACGGAATCAGAATTATTTCCAGAACAGTGGAAATTTTAGTAGAGTCCTTCATAACTCCCTTTTTCACTAGCTGCTGACTGCATAGCCTTTTGTGAAATAACTGATGGTTTCAGTACAATTACAGAAAGAAAAGAATACAAACACGGTATTTAATAAAACCGGAAACATCCCAGCTACCAACATCATTTAAAGGTTCATTTGCATTTATCTATAAACCAGAAAATCTAGTCGCTGAACTGGTTGGTTTTTTTTGGTCAAGATATAGTTTCTCCATGTCAAAACATAGCAAGATAGAGTTGTAATTCTGTCAAAAAAAGTCAGCTGTAGATCAGAAGCAAATGAATAAAAGAAACACATTCAGGAGCACAGTTTCCAGAGCCTGTTATTCAGCAATTCTGAGGAACATAGTTACTTCTGTGTTTGTATTACTTTTGGGGGTAGCAAGTTATGGCAGACCCATAAATTGTGTTAGAAAATTGTAAAGACTTTGGTGGGAAAAATAGGCTTCATTCCCGTTCCAAACGCACTATAACTTACTATAATTTTTTACATTCTCCTCAGAATTTCTAGTATTCTATTATTTGGCAATAAATACAAAAAAAATACATATAAAATCATGTTTGGTTTTTTTTTTTCCTAATCCATCTTTCATTTCAACTGCTTAGAGTTATTCATACTACGCAGTAACTTTAGGCACCTGGGGCTAGGTAATGATGTATGAATTCATTTGTTACAGGTTATATTTGAAATTCAGGGCTGGCCTTCAGCTGAAGGTCTTCTTCAACTCAGTGGTAAGTTAGCTGGAATAAGACATTTTTGTCATGTTCCAAGCTTGTCATAGCCAAGATTTTACATATGGACTCTTAAGCATTTTCTTTTTTATTTATCTATTTGTTTGGTGCAGAGTGGCATTATTTCAGGTTTTAAGCAATTAAGCAGGGTAATGCTGCTATAGAGTCATTTTCTACCCAAGTCTAAAAGGTGCTTGTCCATGATTTACATCACTAGAGCATGCCTATCCTGTTGCAATAGTAGGACAAAAAAGATGAATTGTAAATCTAATTGACCCCTAGTGGTTTGCATGGTGAAAAAGCAGAAAGTGTTGCAACGAATCATAAAATTCGTATGTATTCGTCGAGTATACATAACAGATACTAATTAACATAATAAAGCTCATTACTTGCCTTCGTTTTGTGACAGAGGAGAGTTTGCAGGTGAATTTATCCAGAATATATTTCTAAATCTAGCCATCTTACTTTTAAAAAAAGGCAGGGAGGAGGTCAGTAAAAACTAATTGTTTTATCTACAAAGACAATGCTGTTACTCTATGATCAACCTGTTCATAGATAGCCTAATCTTCAGCTGAAGACCAGCATCGATCCATCATCTCCACTAGGGTCAATGCAACAGTATTCTTCTCATACATGCAGCTAAGTTTCAACAACTACTCATTCACTGTAACCTAAAGTGTATATGTAATCCATTAAGAACTAGAAACTGTGGCAGCTGCTGTTATTCCAAGTATTTTAACCAATTTGGTAAACATCCATGGGCCTTTCCAAATGCTACAGTTCAGCCCTCCTGTTAAACAGACCCAAATAACAGTTTAGAGACTGTGAATTTTGCATGACATGCTTTCTGGAATGTTTTCTCATAACATAAAGGAAACAAGCCGTGTGCCATGGGGTCTTTCAGTTCACAATAGGAGAGTTAGAACCTCAACTAGGATATGGACTGAGCAAGCCATGATGGTTTACAATGTCTTTGACCGGAGCTGGGGAACTGTACTCAACTTTAGCTGCAAGGGTAGCAAAAGTGTTCTACTGTATAGAACCCTTCTTTTCTTAGCCTTAAATTTTCAAGGCAAGATGTTAACTTAGTATAAATCAGTAAAACTCCTACCTCCCACCCCCCAAGAAAACAAAACACTAAAAATTAGCTTGAATTTTCTAGGTTTGCAACAGGTTCAGATTAGGCTTCTTTCTCTCATGACAGAAGACAGGCATTCAAATTTTTCATTTTCCTGTATTTCTGCAGAAGTTTTTGCTTCCTCAGGAATTTGGGAGAGTTATCCAGCAGTAGTTTGTCCAGGTAGCCTTTTAAAGCTTCTAAAAGGTTACTGAAATGGACTAAAATTGCTTGAGAAAGTACATTGCTTTTCAGTGACTTCAGTGCATCTAATTTCTCATTCTGTGCAGCTCAGGGTCAAAAATAACTTCTCAGCAACACATATGGAACCCAATTTCAAACTAAAATGGCAGTAAACTAATTTGGAAGAAGCTAAACTCATAGTGCTTGTTAGTTGAAAAATGGTAAAGAAGATTATTTTTAAGAGCTTTTGTGGCGGGGGCTCTTCACAAAGTCTTCTGAACATTCTGGAACTACTTTTCCTAAAGTGTCAGTCCTCATTATGAAACTGTTGGGAATACTGTTTACAGAGTTGCTTAAAACATCCAAGAATTTCCTGGACCTGAAATGTTTCAAAGACTTGTGATGATGCCAAAGCAAGACAGTTTTGACATTACGGTCTTCGAAAATATGATGCAAGAAAGAAAAACAGTAAATTTTTTAAACCTTTTTTTCTTTGCTAAGTTCTTATCCTGCCTTGTATGCTATCAGTTTTACATGGTGTTTCATATTTTGCCAACACTTTACGCACCCATGATCTCTTTTGTTTTATTTTCATTTTAACAATGCTGTTCAAATAATTTAACATCTTCCCTGTGCATTACAAAGTGTTGGATTGTATATTTCTCTTATATAACTGCTTTGCTGCAGTCAGTCAGGAATATAATTCAGGATGACCTCACTGATGCATAAGCAGAAGAAAGCCAGCTTGGCACCCTGCTGCCCATGCCGAGCTGCTGCAGATGGATATTAACAGATTGGTTCTGTTCATGCTTTCAGGAAAAAGCATTAGCAGCACGCAGATGGGTCTAATTGAAAATGGCTCATCAAAGACATGCATTGCAAGCATCAAACAATTTAGTAATGGATTGCCAATATCTTAATTTATAGAGATCAAGGTTTTCAGTGTCCAGATTTCTTAAAACCCAATACAGTTATTATATTTATTACATCTGTAAATAATGGTAAGCAATGCAGTACAGAAACACTACAAATATCCCTTCTCAAGCCTTGTTTTAAACAACACGTGTAGTACTAAAGTTCTGCATCCTTATTCTGAATTACATGATGCACTTCATGGTATTTCACAGTCAAAAAATCTATTCATTTGCCTTTGTGTTTTAAAGATCTTCTCTTCTATTTTTGTTCTGAACACAACACCAGAATCATATACCATGACTAACTAAAACCCATGCAGTAATTTTCATTGATGTCAGAGGGACCAACACAAGGTCCATCTGATCAGCTTCTGGCTCCCCTCTTGCTAAACTCAGGCACCACACTGCTCATGTTTCTAACAGGTGTTTTTGCTTTCAGTACCAAAGGGAAATATGCCAAATACTTTGACTTCATAAATGCAATGTAATGCATTTTCAAGTCAAGCCTAGTTTTCATCTTTGCAAGAGACATGATCTACATCAATGAATTCTTTTGAACCATGGGTTTGTAGCTCGATAAGGGTCGAAGCACTGATAATTCCCTGAGCTGGTGATATCAAATTATCATTTGCTTATGTGTTTACTGAAGTTTCCTTGCTACTATTCATCAAAGTATGCTTTATAGTCTAGACAATATAGCTGGAGGTAAAAAAATGGACCAGATTTTGAGTGCAGTATCACTTCTTTGAATCTGTAGGATTTGAATGCATGCAGGTTTCTGCAACTAAAAAGCTCATCTGTTATCCCCAGTCTAATGAAAGTATCACTGGTTAAACAGAAGGTCACTACTCAGTGAGTATTCCCTCAGGTACATCCCTAGACTATTTTGATCACAACAATATTAATACCGTCAAAAGGACAAATACACAAGCATCAAAGTTGCATATAACTGAAATTCTCATTCGTAAAATATAAAGTTTGTGCTTTCAGCCCTTCCTCAGTCCCTCGTGGTGTGAAGAAGCCTTTCATAAACACAATGTAGGAGAGGGAATAAATAGTTCTAATCCTGTAGCCCATGTGATGACACTGACTTAGGGATTCAGTTAATTTCTTCTTGAGCATTTTCATATCAAATGGCCAGAAATGAGTTGTTTAAAATCAAGAAACACTGTCTCCATCTCAAATCAAGCTTCCCATGGTTTGAATAATTTGGTAGGTGTTTCCAAATTTTATCATCTGTATGTGTAAGAGTGCAAATATGGGGTGTGGGCAAACAGATAAATGGTATAAATAGTATAGTGTTTGTTATCAG